CACTGAAGTTTTTAATGAATCTCAGATTTGACATTAAGGTTTTTGGTGGAGCAAATTAACCCAAATTCCAACTTATTCATTGTTTTCAGCCACCCACTAACATTTTGGTTAAACGGTGTTTCACCTAAACAAACACGACAACTTAAAACTAAGGAAACATCAGAAGTTAAATGTGTGATGTCTTCTCACTTCTCCTAGTCTGTCGTCATCTCCGCCTGCTGTGTTTCAAAAACCTAACAGACCCACTGACGGAGGATGATGTTCAAAGACTGAACTTTCTCTTCCAGGAAACATGATGCTTGCAATATAGATGGATCCACCAATAGCCTGTGCTTCATTGAGCTGAATTTTCCGATCCAAACTGATAAAAAAAAAAAGGCGAACTCTGGTTCTGCATCCAAGAACAACGACTCTCCCAGTAAATCGTCTCCGACATCCAATCTAACCGCTAGCTTCAAGGATAAGGATAAGGACAAGCTCGCTAACGTCAAACATTTCACACCCCAAAGTCCTAATCCCAGTTCAGGAGGAAGGGAGGGCTTAGGTTCTTCAAAGCTTAAGAAATCATGGCTTAGGTTATCTATAGAGAAAGTTGGAGACTCGGAGGAAGAGATCAGACCCTAAATCATGGCCATCCATAAATCTATGTGAAAAATTCTTGGAATGTTTAATGTATTTTGTATTTAGACTTGGATTTTCTAAGAAGATGACTCAGAAAGTTGTCTTGAATTGAGAGTTTCAAGTGGGATTCTATATAAAACAACCTCTTGAAATTGTTTAAGACATAACTTGGTGCTATGCTTCCGCAATCCATTGTGAGTCTGCTCATGGGTGATTAACTGAACACACTTTGGTTAGTCATTAATGAAACCCTTATGTAGAGTATGAGTTCCCTCCTACCAGAGTACCGGAGCTCTCTCTATGCGTGGAAAAGAATGGGCAGGGGAACTCAAAGTCTAGTTCGACTCAGCCATGTCGGACAGGAGCAGCAGAGTATAAGTGATAAGCACAGAGAAATCGACATTGTGGCATGGAAAATTGGAAAGGAGAAGGGCGGTGTGAAGGAGGATAGAAAAACAATTGAAAATCCTGTTGGAGTGTTGGGTAGATAACGGGAGTAATTCGGATGGTATTGTAAGAGGGAATCCAGACTTTTCCTTTCCTTTAATACGGAGTAATAACTTCAAACTAGAATGAGTAACTTTTTAACGCCTATTTAACGGAAAGGTTAGCGGGTGGCTGAAAAGCACCGAATAAGGTTGAATGTGTGTTTATTTGGTCTATTTAAAAGTTTCATGTCCAATTCGAGATTCATTAAAAACGTTAATGTCATTTTTGACCCTTCTCCCTTTTTATATTAGTTCGTATTTGCACCAAAAAAAAAAATTAGTTCGTATTTCTCAAGATATCTATTTCATTGAGATGAATATAAGAGTAAAATATTTAAATTATTATACAAAAATTTTGTAAAAATTATTTCAGTTATTGTTCTAGTATAGTCACAGTGAACAATAACAAATTAATAATACAGTGATAAAAAATCGACGAAAAATCCAAATTCCGCCAAGTGACAATCGTTCACCCGTCTAGTGACCAACGTCCGCCCGCACAGTTACAGTTACCCGACTCATCCAGTTACAGTTACCCGATCCGTCCAGTTACAATTACGTGATCCGTCCAGTTACACTTACCCGACCCGTCCAGTTACAATTACCCGACCTGTCTAGTTACAGTTACCCAATCATCGAGTTACAGTTACCCAATCAACCAGTTACAGTTACCCAACCTGTCCAGTTACAGTTACCCGACTCATCCAGTTACAATTACATGATCCGTCCAGTTACACTTACTCGACCCGTCCAGTTACAGTTACCCGACCTGTCCACTTACAGTTACCCAATCATCCAGTTACAGTTACCCGATCATTCAGTTACAGTTACCCGATAAGTCTAGTTACAGTTACCCAATCATCCAGTTACAATTACCCAATCATCCAGTTACAGTTACCCGACTCGTCCAGTTACAGTTACCTCACACGTCTAGTTACCCGACCCGTCCAATTACAGTTACCTCACCCATCTAGTTACAAACTCTACCCGTCCAATGACCAACCCGCCTAATGACCAAATCATCCGTGACCAAACCGCCCAATGATCATGACCAAATCGACCAATTCACCCGTGACCAAACCGTCTGCGACCAAAACGACCTATGACTAATCCACCTGTGACCAAATCCAACAAGTGGTAATGATCAATCCGATCAACGTCCCGACGAGTAACCATGACCAATTTGACCCTGCATTGATCGTCGCTGCCTTTCGACGGGGATAGCTGCCGCCACCCGGAGGTGACAGCCACCACCCCTCACCCACTAGCCCCCCTCCCCAGCCCCCACCTACCCCCAGCTCCCTCCAGCACCTTCCCAAAGCCCCCACAGCCCCTCCAGCACCCTCCCACAGCCCCCAGCCCCTCCAGCATCCTCCCACAGCCCCCAAGCAGCCCCCAGCCCCTCCCACAACCCCCCTTCAGCCTCCCACCCCCAACACCCTCCCACAGTCCCCTCTAGCCTACACTAACCAGCCCACTGCCGCCCCCGTCCCCCACCGCCCTGTCCAGCCTTCTCCCCCAAATTCCCAGCCTTCATCCCATACCTAGTCGTCGCCGCCCTAAAGTATTCATCAAATTGAAGCAATTGTCATACTTCGATCTGCAGCACCATATGGAGCGACGGCGTGGGAAATGGTCGGCCGCAGGAGCGAGATCTGTGGTGGCATTGGAGAAAAGAGCAGATGTGATGGAGATGAGATGAGGTGCGATGTAGATGGATGGTGGGTAGATGCGTTGAAGAGGGAAGGCAACAGATGCGAAGATGTTGGAGAAGGAATGTGCAGATGTGCGGAGATGCGCCGCGGAAGAAGGAAGGCGACGGGTTTGGTCCCTTTTTTGTCTAGGTTTAAACGGGTCTTGTTTTTGTCGAGTCAAAATTCACTGGTCCTGTTTTTGCCATTCTTTCACACTAAAATTGGCTGTATTGGCTGATTGTGCTGAAATTTATGAAGTTCTGGCTGAAGTGGCTGTATTGGCTGATTCTGCTGATTTATGAAAAAAATTATATTTAAAATATTTGTTATTAATAAAATAAATAAAAAATTATATGAAAAATAGCTAAAATGATCATCTACAATAACTTCAGCCAATACAGTCAGAAAATTAACTTCAACCTTACTTTTTCATCTTATTACACAATTCAGCGTGTTAAGTCAAAAATTATGTGTTTGGTGAAAAAACTGGCTGATAAGCCTGATAAGCCGAAAAAGGGGTCACCAAACGGGCTCTAAAGATGGAACTCATGTACGTCCACTTTTAATTGTAGTAGTTGCAAATATGCAATCGATACCAAAATTTCTTTAGCCAATTAGTTTAATTTGAATGATAATGTATTTATTTCCTGTATATATATATATATATATATATATATATATATATATATATATATATATTGAAATGAGTTTTATGTTATGTTTAATGAGTATAACGTTTAAACGAAATGAATATTGTATTAAATTATAAAATTAGCATAATAAATAGTTTAGATGATAATACAATGATAATATAGCTAGTTAAATGAATAAGTTGATTTGTAATTGTACCATATACTACGAATATATTACATGTATGATTGATATAGAAATAATTTTTATTACATGTATGATTGATATAGAAATAATTTTTATATTGTACTGAAATGAGTATATATAAAGTTTAAAAGAACTGACTACTATTATGTGGAGACTATTAAATGACTTTTGTGATATACTTAAAATGAGTATAGTGTTAAAAAGAAATGTCTATGAGTGAAAAATTATAAAATGAGCAGAATAAATTTTTCTAAGTTAAGAATGATGAATATCATACAAAGTATTACATTACATTCACGTAGGAGTTGATTATAAACAAGATAACACAAATAAAAATACGCAATCGCATGATTGTAATACTCAATAGAGAAGATTTGATACTCAATAAAATTGTCTTGATACTCAACTAACAAAACTTATGATTTTCATATTTATGCTCATTTTGTAAGTTACATATGCTCAATTGGTACTCATGTTATGCTCATTTTTAAAATTTCATAACAATGCATATTTAAAAAGTACCATATTACAGTAGATTCGCATATTGAAATTCATAGGAATTGATTATAGATATAATTTAATGAGTTTTTATAAAAGAAAAAATAAGAAAAAGAAAGTGAATTACTCCCTCCGTTCTTTTTTATTAGTCCTCTTAGGGTTTGACACGTGTTTTAATAATAAAGTAGTAGGGTAAGTATAGAGTGTGTAGGGTAAATGATAAAGTAGGAAAAATGATATACTCCCTCCGGTTTTTAATAAACTTCACACTTTCCTTTTTGGGACGGTCTAAAATAAACTTCACACTTCCTTATTTCCTTTTTTGGCAAAGAAATCTACATCAAAACAGTGTCAAACAGTGTCTCAACAGCGCCAAACAGTGTCAAACAGTGCCTCAACAGTGTACTCTACAGTAAAGTCAAATTTCTTTCCTTATTTTGTGTGAAATCAAAGCGTGAAGATTAAATAAAACTGGAGGGAGTATTAAAAAGAGGGATACTCATTAAAAAGAGTAAAGTGATGATAAAGTAGGAAAGAGAGTGTATTAAGAAGAGTAAATGATGGTAATGCACTTTTACATGGAATGTGCGAACAAGTTAGCACTTTTATCACAACGCAAGGCACAATGAAACTCTTGTTTTGCGCTTTTTCACGCTGGCACAATATTTCTGAAAATATATTGCACCGTGTTCATTTTATAATGACTTGATTTGGTCAAAGTTAAAAAAAATTCAATGCATCACATAACATATGGATAAAAATTATTGTTCTCATCAGGATAAACGTTGTTATCATCATCAGGATAGAAATCTTTGTATTATAAAGATTTCCTATCCTTGTATATAGTGTATGATTAAAAAACTGGTAACATGACATGTTTATCTCAACCCATTGTGTAGAGGCCAAAAATACAGATAGAATTGAACATGGCCTAAGGACATGCTCTTAAATTAAATTTGTGCTTTGAGTATAGAAGAAAGATGCTTAAATAATTAAATCTCCAGAAGATACTTAAATAATTAAATCTTCAAATTGATGGAATGATCCTTTTTTTGTATAATAAAAGAGAAATATATCTTCATCGATGAGAAGGTGGCCTACTGGCCTGGCTAGTAGTCGGGGAAGAGTTCAGCATACAAGAGCTGGTTCCAAGCTTCAGGAACTCCGGAAACACAATAATGGCTGCAATCCAAGGCTCCATTGTACATCCCGGGATGGCCGTCCGGTCGCAACCGAGTCAACAGCGTAATGTCCAGCAAAGTCACTTCACTCTTCATTTGCCGCAGCTCATTCTCTATTATTTCTTCCCCGTCTGCAATGTAGGAATCCGTGTGATCTGCCAAAGATGATTCACTTATGGGCGTTGTGTACTTGGTGCAACCCGGATGCACAGCAGTTATCCCAAGGAAAAACACCCTCGTCTTTTTGTGATCTATCTCCTCATCAACCACTTTACCCCAATGATTTAAAGCTATTGTCAATGCTTTCATGGGTACCATTGTTGGATAAACCGTATTGTTTTCTTCAACAGACTTCCATCTGTGACAGATTAATTAATACATATATATGATCGATCAACCATCCACCAGGTCATATATTCATGTAATAATAATACTACCTATGCTTAAGTAATAAGTAAAACTACCTATTACTGCATTAAGCTAACTGCAAACATCAGCCAATTACGGCGTTTCAGTCGAAAAATGGCGAACGTTTTCAACAAGTGAAAAAGTTGTTTGTTTGGTAAATAGCTGTTCGGCACTAGCGTTTTGGGCGAAGACGCTGAAATGAAAACGCTGCTAATAGGAGAGTTTTGGGTTGACGTTTTGAAAAATGGCGTTTTCTATTAATTTTATGGCCAAACCGCCAAATTACCAAACATCTTCTAACAACCCGCCAATTTATTCCGCCAGTCAAACCCGCTAACTGAATACAATCTGCTAACATAATCGCTAATCGCTGAATGCCAAACACGCCCTATGGCCGAAGAAATTAGCCGATTAATATTTCAGCAGGACGAGTCCACTGCAATCCCAGATCTTCGAGGGACTTAAAAATATTTGGGCCGAAAAAATCAGCTTATTATTACTACATTAAGGTCACGAAATCAGCTTATTCACGCATGTACTCCTAATATAAAGACAAGCATTGGGCCTACTTTTTTCCCTTTTTCATGGGCCTACGGACCTTGCCCATGCTGCCCTCCCCCCTAGGGCCGCCCCTGCGGTAGGAGAGTATATCGGGCTGTACCGTTACAAACAACTTTTTCAAATAAATTTCTACATGTTTTTACAAAATATTTTCCAAATTTCGGGTGAGACGGGACCTATTATGTTCCTAGCTACGCTGCGCTCCAACATACATGCATATGTGAAGGCTTTTTTAATTCCCAGCCAAATAATGACTAATATACTACTCTGTACTAAAATAAAGATGACAGACAAAAATGTGACTTCTTATACAAATATATGTAGTGACGATGTGGTAAATTTTTAGTTAGTATAGTTATGTTCAATTTTAGGCTATAGTAACTTTGATGTCATAGTCATAATAATTTCAATCCGTGAGTTTAATGTTAATGATATTGTAGGAAAAACTTCCCTTTTAAGCTGTTAACTAATGTCACGCACTCATGCTCACCGTGTCCCCAAACATAAAATCTGAGTGATTTTTGAGATAGGATTACAATGGTTTCTAAGATTTACTGAAAGAATATTAATAGAATCCACGAATCCGATATTCCATTAAAACTTTATCAACTCGATCATAATTTGAGGATACACACGATTGAATTTTGATGAGCATGCATGTAAATTTTGAATCACAATATCAGCTAATGTGCATAATTTATATATCACGAGAGATGTTGCTCCATTAAACCTCAAAAAGAGTGCGTGACTAGTAAAATGAACGGTGCTAATATAATACTCAAGAGCATGTATGTATAATATACTTGCAATGAAAGGAGTACTATAACTTACTCAAGATTGGTGCTGTGTGTATACCAGTGAAAAGTGTTGAACACTATCATATGGGCATCCTTCCACCATGCAAGGCTAGCAGGTGAGATGGTGTCAAGCCTTAGCTTTTGGCCATCCAAAAGAGCCAGGTACCTATTTTGCTCGTAAGCAAGAGAGAGTTTGTATTTCTCGAAATAGAGAGTGAAATATATTTTGCCACGTACGGTGCGGACGCACGTGGCGTTCGGATCATATGCTTGAATCAAGCCTGCCAATGACATCCACTGGATTTCTGCCAAGGAGTCCCCCACAAACATCACCATTTTCCCTCTGTACTTTTCCAAGAATTTTCCTGCTTCAAACCTGTCCCACCAAAACCAGTTTCCTAGCTTCATTAATCCATTCATTTTTGTTATCATTAGTGCAATACCAAGTTACTTTTAACACTTTGCCTGGATCATGTCGTTGTTCATTTTTTTATCAGTTCGTCATTGTGATTTTTTATAATCATTGTTATATTTTTCGATCATAGGGGGTCCACACCATGGATGGATTTGACTCTTAAGATATGCGGTTTCATCCTAAAAAGTCAACCTGATAAGAGGAATAACCTCGATCTTAATAGAGCACTTTATTACTTTATAGATTTCCTGTGTGGGACTCCAACACAAACTCACTCCAAATTGATATACACCGATGGGTCATTATTTGTAGCAATGCATTAAGATATCTTACACCATTGAGGTATAAAAACACATACTCACATATGTAAAATTGAACCACTATTATTTGTAGCAATGCATTAAGATATCTTACACCATTGAGGTATAAAAACACATACTCACATATGTAAAATTGAACCACTCATCTTATGATCGAGTTTATCCTCTTGGGATGTAATCTCAAATCTTAATTGCACCATCCTTTATAAATTACTCCGTATTATTTATTACACTCCCTTTATAAAGTTGTATGTCTTGAGGTGCAAGGAGGGGTCAATATGATCCTAGACAATGAAATCTTGCGGGGATGGATGGCCAGGAAGCCTTTTCAAGATCAGTGAAAAGTGAATCACCAGATTTGTGACTTGATTTTTAGATCAGATGTTGAAGAAAGCTAGGCACGCAATCTAATTTACTGCCAAAACTTGGCAGAGACACCAAATCCAATTACGACAAAGAAAAGAAAATGCAGAGAAAACACAAACAAATTTATAGGATTCATCAATTTTGTTTTCGTTCAATCGACAGATAGACCTCATAGAAGGAGATCATTTTATTAGGAGGTTAGGTTATTCAGAACCCGGTTGGTAATCTTTTTGGCTTATGATTCTTATCAGCCAATGTGTTCACCAAACACGTAAATTTTGATTTCGCGCGCTGAACTATGTAATAATAAGAAAAAGTATAGTTACTTTAATCTCTGTATTGGCTGAAGTTACTATAGGAAACCATTTTAGCTATTTTTCATATATTTTTTCTTTATTTTATTAATATATTTCAAATATAGTTTTTTCATAAATTAGCAGAATCAACCAATGCAGCCACTTCTACCAGAACTTCTTAAATTTTACCAGAATCAGCCAATTTTGGCGTTACCAAAAACGGGCTTTCATATTACAAAATGCACACAACTTTTTACAGAGTATACATATCACTTTAAGTATACTCTAAGGGTATGTTTGAGAGTTGTGTTTTGGAGGGGAGGGGAAGGGTTAGGATGGTTTATGACCTTTTCTATCTTGTTTGGGAGTTTAGAAAATTGGAAGGAAAATAATTAAATGATAACTACGGAGTATAGCTTAATTTTTTTTGAACAAGAAAACTTTAACACGAACTTAATTAAATTAATATAAATTCAACTATTTAAATTCTTTATATCTTTAAAGTGATTTTAATTATAATTGCTTCCTATCTAGCTCCTTTCTATTCAAATTTGCGTCCCAAACATAAGAAGAAAAGTTTCATTCCCATATTCCCCTCCTAGAACTAACCTTCAAACCTTCCCCTCCCATCTCCTCCAAACTCCAAAACATACCCTAAGCAAATTGCATCCCAAATCACATTCACGAATCGTTCCATACCAAAGCCAAGGGTGTGTTGACTCCTGGATCATTGACTTGGGGATCGGGCATGGAGACCCTCATACTTCCGCAGGAAGTGTGTAATCATATTTAAGCATATTGACAAATTGTAGTACTCTCTACTCCCTCGTCCCGCTTGAAGGTTCTAATTGCAAAATGACAAATTGTTTAAAAAAACTAAATATGGTAAACCGAGTATATTTTGATGAATAATGTTTTGATGAGTATATAATATAATAGGATTATTGATGATAAATGTGTGTGCGTGTATTACACATATATGCAAACTTACTTGGGGAGATTACAGTTAGTGGGCTGCCACCTATAATGGAGGTAGCTCGTATCTTTTCTGTTGGAACATTTCCGATTGTCTGGAACGAAAAAATAATCTTTGGAAGAAAACAGCGGGTAACTCTCATCATACACCCAACTTCCTGCATACAGATTGCAAGCAGGATTACTTCCTTCATTGCTAATTGAAGACACCATTTCTGCATATGGATGATAGCTCCATACTTGTAGCAGTAAGGTAAGAAGAAGAAGAAAGTGGCTAAGAGGATCCAGCAATGGACCCATACTTGCTGGTATTCCCTAGTAACAATATGATGAATATGGTAACATTGTTTTTTTCCCTATTTGTAGGGGAATGCAATTCACTTTTGAATTTTATGATTATATTTCTAAATTATTTAACTTTTGAAATTCAAACTCCATAAAAGCAATTACAGTCATATTTACCTCAAACCCCAAGTCCCAAGACCTTCTTTCTTGACCTCGGGGTAAAGAAACATTTTGTCTTAATTTCTAAAGTTTACCTACTTTCCTTCCTAACTTGTCTCAAATTTTTTCAATTTCTCTTTAACTAAAAAAAGTGATTAACATTATTCAATTATTATTGATTTTTTGATTTTTTCTTTAAATATTATGGAAGCAATTTTATGGATAATTACTAAAGTATATCGTCACTGTCACTACAATATAAATTTAAAACATAAGCGTGGACACTAAAATTACTAAAGTATGAAAATTCACATTTTTATTCACTATTTTTTATTTAGTTATATATTGGTATATACTTCGTATTCTTTATTTGATACGAGTATTACAACTTTTTAGCATGCAGGTATTCTACGGTAATGTTTGTAAACAACAAAAAAACGATCTTCACATGTCTTTTCGCTTAAAAAAAGCTGAAAAGAGTATTTTTTTAAGTGACAATTTCTGATTAAAGAAATTGTTTTAAAATCTAAAAGCTAAAAGTAGGTGGAGAAGTGTTTTAAAATGTTTTTCACGTTTTCTATTATACAAAAGAAAATTTATTTTATTAAACAATACCAAATTTTACTTTTCAAAAACAATTTTTCCCAAACATTAACAATTTTTACTAAGTATTTTCTCTAAAATCACTTCAAAAATCCCTTTTTTGGTTATAAAAACACCCCTCTAGATAGGAACAAACTCAAATACTCCCTACCTCACAGACGTATATTGAAGAATTTAAGATTTAAGAATTGGTCATACGCGCAATCACAAGAATTAAGTATCGTACTCTTTGTGATGGATTGAAACCCACGTAGATGACTAAAAAATGCTTTTAGAAAAATTGCTCTAAGACTCTGATAATAAATGCATTTTTAACAAAAGTTTCTAAAACAATCATTGAAATCATACGCGCAATCACATAGGGCTGGCTGGCATTGTCGTCCGGCAATTTCAATTCTGATGTATGCACGTAGCGGATCACATTTGTTAAGTTCAAGACTAAAAAGATACTTCGCAAATTATTAAATGATACTCATTAAGACTCGTGTTAATAAGCGACACATAAAATTAGCAATGTTGTAAGCTTATATTTACTTCAAATAATCTAAAACATCGTTTAACATTAAAATGTTCAAAATAACTTTATACACATATATATACACACAAAAAAAAGATCAGGTCCAGCCCTCCCCGGCAGGGCCGGTCCCGAGAAAACGAGGGCCCTGTGCAACAACACAAATCAGGCCTTTCTTTTCTATCGTTAATAGAAATGCTATTTCAATTGAAATGGTAAATTGTTAATACGGAGTAGTTGTAATTTATTAAAAAATTATTTCAAAATAGAAGTTGCTAGTATTAACTAGCAGTAATAAATCCAAGAAAAAAATTTATTTACGTATAAAGTTATATAGTGAAACAAAAACAAATTTAACAGCCTAAGAACCTATTAATATCATTTTGTTGAACTCAAATTACAAAATTAATTCATAAAGAACCATTACTCTCTATTAGTTACGAATTTATATACCTAGAATAGTGGAGTCCTTCCGTCCTAGATGTGTTCGAATCGCCGCAGCAACTTAGAAATCAGGATGGCTCGAGGCTGGAGCAGAGCCTGGAGACGGAGAGTCATCCGTATGTCGCTCGTCTCGCTCAGTCACTCGTTATGCCCTTTGGCCTATGCGCTTCCTCTTTCGCAGATTGCTATGCTCGTCCCGCACCTTTTTGTTCGCTATTGGGCTGACTAGCTTATAGAGAGTAGTAGACTAGTAGTAATACTACTACTAATTTATTTTTTTGGGCCTTCCATATTTTTGGGCCCTGTGCGGTCGGACACCCTGCACACCCCTTGGGCCGGCCCTGCTCCCCGGTATAGCCGCCGTCCGAACTCCGCCGTTTGGGGCGGTTCCCGATGGAATTTTTTGATGAAATTTTTTGAGCATGTTCTTCATCAAGTCTAGTTTATCCATACCAAATTTCAGCTCAAAATTCGACCGAGAAGGCATTCAAATCATTTTTTGAAGTTGACTGCATTTTTATATGTATATTTTGGCGCAGTCAACTTCAAAAAATGATTTGAATGCCTTCCCGGTCGAATTTTGAGCTGAAATTTGGTATGGACAAACTAGACTTGAAGATTTAAATTTGGTATGGAGAAACGTCATAAGTTTAAATTTTTGTGTTTATGTCTCTCATTCCACATGTGCATCCTGCATATTGTAGCATTGAAGATGCTCTTAAAGAACAACATCTAGAACTCAGACG